GGATGGATACAGGATGGATGGATACAGGATGGATGGATACAGGATGGATGAATATATAAGCGACCAATCGAGCGAACGAATAAGAGGTGAGAGCTTACCTTACTTTGTATAGATAACTGTCCCTCTTTTACACCTCGATACACCCATCGAAACTCCTCTGTCACTTTATTCGAAAAAAGTACCATTTGTGTGCCTTTTACCGGCAGTAAAGAGTAGTCTATTTTAGGAGTTAGTTACAGATGATTCTCTGATTTTACTGCAATGAAAGGAATGTGTTAACATAGGGAGGAAAGACATAAATATTTTATGATCCTTGGATTATCGTCCCTGAGTTTGATTTCGTGGGAAAAAAAAACCTTCTTACATAGAAAAATGCTTACTCAAACAACATAATGCCTTTTCAAAAGGCTCGCAGATGAGGGATTTGATTACCAAATCCCCAAATTTTTTAAGGTCCCTTTAAAAGGGTACAAATTATTTACCCGGTCTAATTAACAGTTAAGGTGCACTCTTCTAGCAATCTCCGTCTAAAAGGCGCTTTACCCGATCCCAAATTGGGAGATTTTGGAGACCTTTCAGGAGGTATTTGGCAAAGATTTTAGTGCAAAACTCATGGGTCAACAAGTTGCATAATAAACAAAACCGCAAGTCATAAACGGATGGCGCGGCGGAGGGGAATGAAATTTGTGACCCCAGATGACCTCAATTGAGCCATCATGTTCCTCTCAATTTCTGGGGGCTATTAAATTCTCTCTCCATCCATTTCCCACCTAAGAGAAGGACATTCATGTGTTTACCCTTCCTTAAAAGGCTCCACAACTAGCCGTGGGGATTAGGACGATCCAACATGATGTACCAAACTTTCATTCACTGGCAAGTTTAGCAGATCTGTCAGAAGAGAAGAGAAGAAACAAACAGGAACATTTTCCTCACCTTTTTGTTGAGGTATTTAATAATATTTCGGTTGGCCTATTTATAACAAACACACCTTTTAAAACCCTGATGAATGACAGAGAGCCTGACAAGTTAGCCTTTCCTCAAAATACACAGAATTTTATTGAAATTGTGGCATTTATGGTCAATTTTATTTGTTAGATTAACAGACAATTAAGTCATAAACTTATTCCCAACGAAAAAAATACATTTCTTCTCGCTTTAAACTGTTTTTTTCTCAAACTTGAAGACTCCTATATGAGGGATTATGAAATATCTTAGATAGCGGTGCTTTTAAGGGCGCATATCTGATAAAGCCCCTGCTCCTCTTGAGGGGCAAGATTAACTTGTGAAAAAGCCAAAAAAAATGGTGTGGGTCTAAAATCATTATACGAGGGTAGTAATTTGTGGGATTTATCACTGTGCCGAGGTAATCAGGATGTATGTCCATTATCTCTTCTACTGGCCGACGCACATGCCGTGGACCGGTTTGCTCCAGTCCAACCCAGATACCGCCAACCAAGGCGGTAGGAAAGAGGACTGGGGGATGGGCATCGGATAATGTGTAGCCATAAAAGACGTGCCTTAGGAACAAGAACAAGGTCATAAAACTCGAGTTAGGGGACCTATGTACTTGTACAGAAGAATCCAAGCGCCTCCATGGTATGACGATTGGACAAAGGATGTGACATTTGAAAGAGGTGACTGTCAGTAACAATGCCGAGTGTAGTGATCCTACCTAACCCATGAAGGTTAATCCTGTGAAGGCTCATTGCGTGGGATGCCTACTTTTGAATCGCCTGATCGAGGTATAATCTACGATGAATGTACAGGCCTTCATGGGATTGGTTAGCACAGTCATTCAGGGGCAATTGCAATCTTAAAAGTTGGGAATCCAGTGTACCGAAGCTGCTTTCTCGGCGTTATTTACAAAATGATAAACACAATCTCCACTCCACACAGCAGTCCTTCCCTCACTTGAATAGCGTCGTGGTTAACTGGAAAATAGTGGTTAATCATACAGGCTAAGGGCCTTTCCTCTTTGTTTCCACACACACCAAATGTCGACTGTGATTAAGCCCCAGAAAACGTGAGTGTACGTGGGGATGAACGCACGTATCAAATATGACAACATCTACCTAACCGCAATGTAGAAAGCGCCCAAAAGCCGAAAAGGTCAGCCATGAAGAGAGAGGGAGAGGAAAACCTATTCATCTCCCGTGGTAATGACCTTTACGTCTAACACAATGGGGGGGGGGGTGGAAGAAGTGTTGATCCAAACCACAGCGTGGTAACAAAATATGCAGAAAGAGATTACGAATGGTGTAATTTAATTAGACCGGGGCACATTAGACACTGGACTGGTGGTCAGTTATCCTTTTGGGGAGGGACCGACGGGCCACGCACAGACCAGATAAGCGAACCCCGGAGTAGCGACTGTAGCAGCTAGAGTTCGGCCACTTTCTTCGAAGGCTGATTTAAGAACTTTCCCTCCGCGTCTAAGAGAGGAAAACCGTATTGGACCTAACCCACCTAGGCAACTAAAAAATATCGTCCCAAATAAAAATTCCTTCAAATGGAAGTAGGAGTAGAAACAAACATCTAGACAGTCGGTGGTAGCACTCGATTGTGTTTAGAGGGTAGACAAGTGAGACTCTACCTCAGCTCAGCTTACAACGATACTAGTATCACGTCTGGAGATAAAAATTTACAGCCAGTAGTGTCATGGGTCTTCAAAAAGGATAGACTAATGGGGTTTCTTCATTTCTACTCACGATTTAGAAAAAATTAACTGGGCCAAGAAATACTTTTTATGATAGGGAGTAGTTTGCGTAATTTGATGCCCTGAAGTCCCATCATTCTTGGAGTATCTAGGATTTCATCCAGTATAAATTGATGAAAGATAAATGAAAGATCTGATAATCAAAATTCGTTTATCCCGGTGCTGTGCACCTTCAATGGAAACCTGGGTCCAGTCGACGCACCTGCCTCGATGCAGAAGTAGGTGCTAAAGATTTCGAGAAGTTGGAAGAAGTTGAGTCAGAAGATCGCGAATGGATGCTTTATGGTTTTTTATCACCATCTCAAGGTCGCATATGACCTCACCTTTTCTGTAGATTAAATCATGCCAGAAATTCTTCGTACGCAAAAGCCATGTGGACTCTGGATTTAGAATAGGAAGAGCCTCTGGTGGCTTTGCATACACGATTCCACCAACAGCGTTCCCACGGCTTCCTGACCACACTTGCATCTCAGGTGAATAATTAAGGAAAGCGGTGAAGAGGAGCTGTGAAAATCGTCTACTTTGTTGCATACCCACATCAGGTCGGCTTCACCCCATCAGCCCTCTTTGTTACAAAGTGGGTCAGACTGCCTTTCGATTCGAGGGGCTTCAAGAAAATTTTGGGGCACAGCACGAGAAGGAGAAAGTGGGGAAGAGTACTAAGAGAGCAACAAGGAGATTTAGAAGAATTTAAAGAAAATCGAGAAGTGGTAAATTACATCTAGATGCCAAGATTTACGTAAATTGCTTTGTTGAAGGGGCCTGCTCTGATAGCCCCTTCTAAAAGTATATTTCCTGTATTCAGTCATCTAATAAATAGGAAAAGTGATTCCAAAACCACTAGAAAATGGGAGCAGAAATATGTGGACTGTCCTAACTGGTTGTCAGTTATCGTCACATAACACACAGTCCACTGCGATTGATACATCCCCCCATTATCCATATCATTATCAGCAGTACCACTACTCCCCTACCTCCTTCCCATAAGCTGCCGAGTCACAGTCCCAACATTCGAGATCATTACGCAGTGATTGGAGAACAAGACAGAGGAAGGAAGGTGGTAGTAGCAATAGAGAGGTTGGGATGAGGAGGAGGAGAAGAATAAGGTGGTGGCGGTGGTAGTGGGCTGGAGTAATACGATCACGAGAAGGTAGTGATTAATCGAGTGTGCGTTTGTTCGTCCTTTCCAATGCTCGTACGGCAGTTCATTAGTACTGCGCTAAGTGTTATCACCGGTTATCACGAAAGGCAAGTTGTCAATTGACGTGGAGGCAGGAAAAAGGCTCGTACACCCATGCGTATGTAGGTGGGTTTTTGTGGGTAAAAAGTGCTACAAGAGCTAAAGGTCTACCTTATACACTCTACCAGGTGTGGCCTTTCAGCTAGATTATTAGACACACAATAGCCGTGACTGACACATGACAGCGAACCGCAAGTGTCACTTTTTTTGTTCGACAAGTGCATTATCTATCTTTTCGTGGCACCATTGGTTTGAATGATAGATTGAATTGTGCAAGAGTTTCCCACGCCATGGTTTCGGCCGGACAGCTTATCATCCATGCTTATAGGCTTTCAGCTATCATTTGTTGCCCTTAAAAGACTTTCATACCATTATTATGGCTCTAGAAATGACTTGAGGTACTAAATCTACGCCAAAGTGGCTGGATGCCACGTCCATATTGCCACAGGAAGAGGGCATCTGCTATTGGAATGGCCGAGTCGGCGGCGTAGGCACACAATAGAAGGGGATGGTTAAAGCAGTGTCAAATTTTTGGCATCTACCCCAATCTTGAGTTCATGATTGTGCCAACTAACATTATCGAGGTATTTCTAGCGGAACTTGTTGCTGCACCTATGAAAAAAGAGACTCCTTTCAGGATCCATAGATACGATGCTCCTCCTCCTCCTCCTCATCACGGTGCTTTCAAGCAAATGTTATTATTAAAAAAGGGATGGTGTGCGTAATAGTTTCATCGTGAAAGGTTTTTCAAGTTTACTTTCCCCCAGATGTATTTCGTCTTGTAGAGGACGGGATGGTCCGAAAAGCACGACTGACTCCGCAGCATGTACTAACACACGAAATCAGCATTACTCTTCCCATGATGTACATTTACCCTATCATAATCAGTCTTAGATCAGCAAATTGTTGATAATTAATGCAATACCACAGATTACCTTCAATTCACTCATTTTGCTCTCACTTCAGGTCCGCCTTCAGCGTCATAACACATAACCGGCTTTCACAGTTGCAATGGTAAGCCAAAATGGAGCTTCTCACTTAAACTATCCACCAGTGCAGTTTGTGCACAATCTCAATTGTTTGTCAAAAGATGGCTTCTTACCTAAACGGCCAAGGAGATACAGAACCCCTAAAATCTAGTTCCATTACCAGAGTCACATATATGTGACACGCGGTCCTTATCCATTCTGCATCAAATCATGCCAGAAATAGATTAAGGTTAAGTGAAACAAATAAATGTAGAACTCCCTAGTCTGGGGGAATGATTTCGTGTTTCATGGCTTCTAGATGGGTACGGTTGGTGGAAGTAGAATAAAAGCATTGGAACAGGAGACCTCTTGGGTTTTGGTGGTCGGTTTTACACCGCAACCGCGGCAGCAATCTTGATGACAAATACGTTATTCCTCTTTTCACAAACTCCGCCTTACCCCCCAGGTTTCATCTGTGTGTGCACCGCAACCACCCAATCAAATTTTCTTTGAAGACCTGTTTCCCACAGGGACCTGCAGTTTGTCAAGACAGCAATTGTAGACCCGTCCCCCCTCCCAACACATATCCACCTTATTTTGCGCGTGGTACAGGTCTAGAATGAAGCCTCAGAGAGTGGAAATTAGGTGGTCATTAAGCCACAGTCCAGATGTTGATTCGCCTTGACTCCATCCCATAGAATTGCAGCATTGCCCCAAGCCATCAATCAAGTTGATTATCCCTAAAGGAACCTCCTGTCCCAGCATGACACCGTCTCGAAAATTGAACCT